TTGTTGTTTGGCGGGTCCGGGCTGGGGATTCGAACCCACCACCTTAGGTGTACGTGGCTGGCGCCTTAGCCGGTTGAGCTATAGGCGCTGAGCCAGCCTTCCTCCTTTATAGAGAAGGCTTCACATGTGTTTGGGAGACCCATGGATTTCTTGTGATTCCATTAAGTTTGATTACTCATAACTTCTCTCTCTCTCTCTCTTTTTTTTTTTTTTTTTTGAGACAGAGTCTCAAGCTGTTGCCCTGTGTAGAGTGCCATGGCATCATACCTCACAGCAACCTCAAACTCTTGGACTTAAGTGATTCTCTTGCCTCAGCCTCCCATGTAGCTAGGACTACAGGTGCCTACCACAGTGCCCAGCTATTTTTTTTGTTTTTTGCAGTTGTCATCATTTTAGCTGCCCTGGGCTAGGTTCAAACCCACCAGCTTCAGTGTATGTGGCTGGCACCCTACCCACTGAGCTATGGGCACCACCTATTCATGACTTCTTCTACAAAAGCCTTATTTAGTTATTTATTTAGTTATTTATTGACAGGTTTTCACTCTGTACCTTGGATAGAGTGCTGTGGCATCATAGCTCATAGCAACCTCAAACTCTTGGGCTCAAGCAATGCTCTTACTTCAGCCTTCCTAGTATCTGGGATTCCAGGCACTGCCATAGTGCCTGGCTAGTTTTTCTGTTTAGTAGAGATGGGGTCTCACTCTTGCTTGGGCTGGTCTCAATTCCACAACTCAACGGATCTGCTTGCCTCGGCCTCCTAGAGCGCTAGGATTACAGGCATGAGCTACAGAGCCCAGCTGAGCCATATTGTGTTTTAAAAGACCAGCCGCTCTGCTCTGGGCTGCCTTTACCACAGATCTCTCCATGTTCTGTAGAGTGCCGCTGCTTTCAGTCAGTAAGTAGTCTGCCCTGAGTGCCCTTTTCTGCCCTCAGGACAGTCTAAGACTAACTGGAGGTAAGCAGTGTGGGCAGAGGGAAGGGAGGATTCTCAATGGTGCGCAGCCTGCTCGGATGGCATGGGAGCAAGGATAAACTGCCAGCACCTTCATATGAGGGAAACAGGCCAACAAAAACACTGTTGTAGGAATGTTGGCCTGGTGGGGCAGTGAGAAGAGAAGCACAGGGCAGAGGGAGATAATTGCAACAAGATGTGCAATGGTGGCAGGGTAGAAAGTCAAGGGTAGACCTCCTAGGATTGCATCTGGAGAGCCCCTAGTGTTCTGCCAACTTCGGAAGCAGGAGGAAAAGCAAGTCTAGCAGAGGTACCCATTCCATTCCCAACTTGTTCTGTAGCTGGTGATTGGAAGACACTCTGCAACAAATGGAAAAAAAAAAAAAAAGTCAAGGGTAGATCCCAGAGTGTCTGAAGAAAGAAGTGAACATTGCTAGCAGATTGGCCGGGGAGGGGGGCAGGGGTCTGAAAAGCCAAAAACAGAGCTGCAGAGTTTTCTCACTTGGGAAATGTCAGGGAGTCAAGTTCATGAATGACAGCAGAGGACATGGGAAAGATGAGGCCTCTGACCTGTCTGTGGCAAACAGGTGAACTGGGAAGACATGGCAGTTTATGCTTGCTGCTGGAATGGTGGAGGTGCACATGGGAGAATTAGGCTGGACAGAATGTCTCTAGAGGGCATTGGGAATCATGGCGATCTGGGTGAAGCTGAAGGTACCCACAGGAGCGTTCTGCTCAACTACTTTGAAGGCCTGGAGAAATGAATGAGATCATTTCAGTCTGCAAAGCTCACTTTCTTGCTGAAGAGCAGAGAAGGAAAAAGGGGCCTTCCAAAGGAAAGCAGGCTTAGAAGCTCAGCAGGGCTGACTCAGACCACCCATGCTCAGTTAGCTTGGATGGTAGTGCTGAGGGAACCTAACCCAAGGTGCTACAGTGTGATCTCAAGGGAGATAGCCATATGAGAGATCAATATAAATTATAGCCAGGAGAGTCAACCTGATAATGGGCCTCTCTCAAAGGACTCCACTGTGGTTTAAGAAGAGTTAGTGCTCCTCAGCCAGGCACAGTGGCTCGTGCCTATAATCCCAGCACCCAGGGAGGCCAAAGCAGGAGGACCCCTTGAGCTCAGGAGTTTGAGACCAGCCTGAGCAAGAGCAAGACCCTGTCTCCACTAAAAATAGAAAAACTAGCCAGGCGTGGTCATGGGTGCCTGTTATTCCAGCTACTCAGGAGGCTGAGGCAAGGGGATCGCTTGAGGTCAGGAGTGTGAGGTTGCTGTGAGCTAGGCTGATGCCAGAGTACTCTAGCCTGAGTGATAGAGCAAGATTCTGTCCCCTCCACAAAAAAATTATTGCTTCTCAAGAGTGAATGGGAAGTAGAGGGTAGGTTTCTGGTGGGGTTATGTTCATGTTTTTGTTGAGCTGTGGCTCTCCTAGGTGAAGATGGCCCCTCCCAGATGGCCCTGGAAGATCTGGCCATGTTCCGAGCCATTCCCAACTGCACTGTTTTCTATCCAAGTGACGCTGTCTCGACAGAGCATGCTGTTTATCTGGCAGCCAATACCAAGGTATTTTTAAGGGGACACTGGTTGAGACTGAAAATGATTCTGCACTATGATACTAGTTTGATACTGATGATTGGATTTTTTTTCTCGGCACAAAAGTAAATTAATTGTAGAAAAAATAGCATTAGGATTTGTTTTAAAAATACAACCTTTACAAAAACTGGTCATGTACACAGACATCTGCTTTCTATCAAACAGAAGCACACTGAACAAAACCTGACAGCCTGTCTCAGGGCTCAGCACAAGAAATGGGGACCATCTAGGCATTCTAACCATTAACATAGACCACTTACAAAGTCACAGGAGTGGGCTGCAGTCAGGACCCCAAACTAAAAGGTTAACCCACTGGTGGAACTACCACCTCTGAGGCCACTCCTGGGCCTGTTGGACATAAGACACTCCTCAGTTGCTGCAGCCAGGGATAAAGCCACTGTTGCCACTGCCTTTTGATATCTAGGAAGTTGGAGAAAGGGTGGCAAGATCCTACTGCAGAGCCTGGGCTCCTCAAACAGAAGGGCAAGTGTGGCTTCCACCTCACTTCTGTTCCTCCTGAGATCTCAGGCAAGGGCAGAGATCTGTATACTGCCCAGAGGGACAGAATCAAAGCCTTAGCAGCTGCTGCTGATCTTTCTAAACCTAGCTGCAGGGGAGACCAACGAATATAGTCTTTATCTTGCCAACCTCTCCAACTCACACTCAGCACAATGCCCTCACCACCCCTACCCCTGCGCCCTGCCTGTGCCCTCTGTGCAGGTAACCGTGGGCACAGTGGGGCAGACCCTTCTTGGCTCCCACTCTGAGCATTTGAAACACATATGCACAGATGTTTCATTGATTTGTGTTGTAAGTAGGTTCAAACTGTACATGTTTTTCTGTACTTTTTACTTGCTACATCTTGGAGTTTGTTTTGTTTTAGGATTTCATACATGCTATAGGATTTCATTACTAGAAAGGTCCAAAGAGGCAAATCAAGACTCTACAGTATACAAACGAGTATATACATTGCTTATTAGGAGTAGCAAGTGGCTAAAACGAGGCCTTCGGGCTTGGTTAGTGATGCCTTCGTCAAAGATTATGAAGTGCACTTTACTGTGGCTGAGTACAGATTGCCTCATAAGGACAGGTGAACAGAGGCAGTGTTTCTCTATCGATATAGTAGTTTATAAATCCATTGTTTAAACATGTAAATTAAGAAATACTTTAGACATATGAGTATTATGAGTATCCAATTATACTAAATGCTTATGTATTCAAGTTGATAAGAAAGATGCATTTATATCTTCTCATTGTGAAAAGAGTGAGTCATTTGTATTGAGATGTTTAAGGTCTTTCTGAGAATAAAACATTACAAGGTACTCTGGTAAATTTTGTGTTTTAGGCTTTGTAGTCAACATGCTCTGGCCTGAGTTTATGTTTTGTGGAGACAGAACAAGTGAGTTTGCGTTTAGAGACTCTTTCCTAAGTCAAAAAAGGTGATAGCATGGAGAACTTGGCACTGAGAACATCTACTAGGGTCTCACTTGGGCTTGATCAGACCACGTGCAGCCTGTGTGCCAGTGCTTGTAGATGCTTGTCCTTTACTCCAAAGTGTACACTTGGTTTTTAGTAAAAAAGAAAAAAAATTGTTCAGTCCTCCTCCTTCCCCCTACTTGTTTTTTTTGTTTTGTTTTGTTTTGTTTTTTGAGACAGAGCCTCAAGCTATCCCCCGGGTAGAGTACTATGGCAGACTACAGCTCACAGCAACCTCCAACTCCTGGGCTCAAGCGAGTCTCCTGCCTCAGCCTCCCAAGTAGCTGGGACCACAGGCACCTGCCACAACGCCC